AAGCAGAGTTCAGACTCTGCACCCATACACGGGTATGCTGTGTGCATGTCATTGGGGAAGCCCATCCTCAGCTGATGTGCAGTGGTTTCATTCACAGATTTCAACTTGCCTGTGCCAGTGCAGTCAAAAGGAGACCATCTATCATCTCTCTCAGTATCTTGTTTGGAGTTTGGCTAAGAATACTTCTCTCAGCCCTGTAATCAGTTGGGCCTAGGTTGGGCTATTACAAATGTAAATGATAAATGGTTTCTTTGGTTGAGCTTCCCTCCCTATCTCTGACTACTTCCTGATCCTGGGAAATTCACTGGAAGAAAACATACAAGGAAAAGCAGAGAGCATTATGCCTAAGAAGGAGTGAAGACAGTGAGGATTCCAGGTCACCAGGAATTGATTTCCAAGAGAACCTACATTGTGCTGCTGAGCTGCAACAGCTCGGAAGTAAATGCTGAAAGCACATCTGGTCAAATGCTGAGGTCTCTCCTAGGTGAGAACTAGGGAGCCTGGCACATGACCTCTTCTGGCTTCAAGAGAGTTTGAAGAGAGAGGCTAAGGTGTTCTTAGCCTCTTGCAGACTAATGTAGAGACTAAGGTGATCTTCCCTTGTCAAGTGCCGCAATCTTATCCCTCAGTATTCTAAAAGCTGTCTGTGTTACTCCATCCTAGGCTTGTCTTGGGCAAACCAGGTAGTTTCCCTGGTGAGAAATCTATCCACAGAGCAGAGGATAAGATCTTCAAGGGTATACATCCTGCAGGGACCATGCTGGATTTTGGTCTCTTTGCCCAATACATCACATCAGAGTTCTTTTAGGAGACTTTGAACCCTTATGCTCCCCTTGTGCCATGCCGCTTTACCCCGGTGCACTCCATACAAGAAGCCTGGTATAATGTAAAGCATCCTGTGTAACATTTACCTTTCTCTCCTTAAAGACAGAGGGGTGAAGAAAGGTGACTTGAACACCACAAGAGACCAAAGCTCTGGTCTATTTGTGTCTCACCTGGGGTCTTGCTGCTGGGAAAGGTCTCCTGGCGGCAGTAACAGGAGAAGCAGCTCAGCACAGCAACAAATGTGGTACCCAGTGCACCTTAAAATTCAAGAAATTCCAGGTTGTCTATGTCATGCTGAAAAGCACCATGGTTTGCAACAGCACACACAAGGGGATACACCAAGATTTGCCCTGGAAGGCTCTCCTGAAATCCCTAGCATGGTGCAGTTCCCATCCCACAATCCCTGCCTCCTCCACAGCCATGGGCTGGAGCCAAGGACATGGGAGCAGCATCGCTTTGGGCCATGACATTCCTGCAGCTTCTGACACCATTGGCTGGGAGTACCGCCCAGCTGATTGTCTCACTCCGTATGTGGAGGAGGGAAATGTGCTTACAGGATAGAGCCAAAGGAGGATTTCAGTACCAGATGTGGGAGGTCACAGCAGGGACACAGCAGATGGAGTTGGGAACCATCCTGCACACTCCCACTCCTTCCCAACATACGTCATGCCCTGGCAAGAGGTAACTTGAGGAGCTGGCCCCCCTCTCCTGACAGACCCAGTCCAACTGGGTAACATCTTCACACAGCAACCAGCTATGTCCTACTTCTGCTTATTGGTGGTCAGGAGTTGAGTAAGACTCATGACTGACCTGAAAAGCCCCTCCTGACACATATCCATACCGACTATGCCTAAGGCGAAACCCTCCCACAGCCCTTGTACACAAAGGAGGGAATAGTCTCCCTTCCAAGGTGGTTCTGGTCACGCTAAGATGAGCCACTCATCCCTCTGCCTTCCTTCCAGCCCTGCTGTTCTTGGCAATCACAGCCATCAGCATTTGAATTTAATGGATATCCATGTGCTGACCCTGGTGTAGTAGAAATTTCCACATCACTAGCATCAGCTACAGTCTTTCCATGCCACATTTGAAAGACAAGAGACTCCAGACACCCTACCAAAACACCAAGCAGGAAGGATATGACAAGATCAAGAGGATCAACTTGCTGATTCCCCCTCTCCTCCCAGTGGAAGGATGCTCTGTGCTTTGTCTTTCTAAGGGGAATCTCCCAGGATTCAGCTGGAAACAGTGAAGATGAAACATCAACCATCCTGACCAAAGTCAACAAAAATCATTTGGGAAATTCTTCAGAAATGTGTGAAATGGTCTTTCAATGCTCAATGACTTTTTCTCCATACTCACTGCAAGCTTAAAGTCTAAAATCACAGCCACAGCCTGATGTAGACAAGGAATGAATAAAAATGCAATATGCTAAGCATCTTCCAAGCTAAAGACAGAAATGCCTGTAGTAACATCCTTGTGTACTTTATCCTCACTATATATACGGTTCATCTTACGAAATGCCTTCATACACATCATACACAAGCATGCAGAAAGAACAAAGCAGAGAAAGAAAGCTAACTGCAGAAAGAAGAGAAACCTCAGCAGCACAGAGGTAGCATGCCCCAGCGACAACCTGCTTCTTTGGATGCCTAATTCCCTTCATGGCTTTTCTTCTCAGTAGAAACATCACAAATTCCCACATATTTAACTTCACAGTGTATCATCTCCCCTCTTTAAAGCTTGTTAAAGTACAGAGGGGAACTGGGTTGGTAACCCCTGCAGATGTCTCTAATAAATAGAAACTAGTCAAGAATCACAAGCTGGAACACATCTGATGTGAGCAGAAGAATGTACCCACCAGTCAGGGCTGAGAACACCAGGGAGCCCAGGAGACATCTGAAAAGCACCATGACTGACAGCTCCACTCAAGGGGAAGATGAGACCGTTGTGGACACTGAAGGTCATGCCCTGTTCTGCAGCAAGGGGATGGAAACATTCCAGGCAGGAGCACCCTGTGTGCTGCAGTGCAACCAAGGGGAGCAGAAGCCCAGCACTGATCTGCAGACCTGGCTTTATTCTGGCTGCTCTGATTTATTCTGCTGAGCTGTCTTGGGCAAGTCACCTCCTGGCAAATAAAAGGCATGCAGTGTACGAGATGCATTTACACTCTGCAGAGGAAAACCAGATTTTTTTCCTTCCTTTCTTGTGATTTTTAGGAACAAATTCTTAGTTTGGCTTCACAACCAGGCACATGGATCTGTTCCCATCTCATCTTAACGCCCAGCCCTCTGTCCCCAAGGCTCCAGCAACTCATCCTCTTCCAGCCAACGGTTTGCAGGTCATACACCACTGCAGGAAATCTCAGGCCAATAAAAGGTTTTTAAGAGCTCTTGAGCTGTTTTAACTCGGGATTCCACTGGAATTCCCTGGAAAATAAAACCCAATAAACAGCAGGGGGGTTGCTAGTTTACAGATTGGAGATGTGTGGCTGGCTGCTTGTAAGCACTTAGACATTCGGTGGCACTCACAATGAAGAGAAAATGAACTTTGACATTCATGGCCAAAATATTAGTACTAGGTTTTTTGGACTCTGCCCTAGAATAAACAACTGGGACCCCAGAGAGGGAGAGAAATAAATCACATCTCTACACAGCACTTCCACAGAAATATGAGTTTTCTTTCTGCTTATCTTAGCAGCACCTTCCTGCTCATTATGGTTTTTAAACTGATGATGAACACAGCCATGGCTGCCCTGAAGTCAGGTCTGGGCACTGTAAAACCACACAGCAGCCCTTGTCCTGAAGGTTTTACAGCCTCAATAAAAACAAACAAGGAATTAAAGAAGGAAAGAAATCAGTCACTAGCCTAAGGTCACAAAGGAGTTCTGCGGCTTGGCTCGGATTAGAACACAAGTCCTTTGTTGCTTTAGCAGCTCTCTTGTCCTGTCTCCATAAACCATATAGGGTTTCATTATTTCTTGCTTTCTCTTTCCTGCTTTCTCTTCCCTTGACCTATTCTCAGTGCAACCTGCTGGCAAGGATTCCCATCCCCACTGCTGGCAGCCTCAGCCATCTTCACTAACTAAATTATCCATTACTCAGAGCATGACTTTTAGCTTTCTAGCACATCAAAAGCAGCACTGGACTACTGTAAATTATGATTTCTAGGAGCGATATTGAAGTGTGAGTGATAAGAGCTGGCTGGAGTTTGATTGGGGGTTGGTGTAGACAGAATGGGATATGAGAAACTATTTTTCTTTCTTTGATATTATTTTGTAATAACACGAATCTGAAATGTTTCTCATAGGGAGGTGGGGGAAACCTTGTTGCTCTTTCATTAAAAAACACACAAGTTTCCACCCTGTTTCTCTACGCAGGGAAAAAGGAGAAGCTTCTGCACAGCACTGTGTGTGTGCATGTATAAAATGAAGAAAGTTTCAGTTTTGGCAAGAGCCATGTTTTCTTATGGAAAAACAAATCCCATTTCAACAATCTGGATAAGTCTGTACGTCACCATCTCCTCAGACAGCTCCTGCCATGCCCTTCCTAAACCCTACCAAGGCCAGGGGATGGAGGGTGGACTACTGCTGTGTGCCGGGGTGCGAGCATGCAACCAGCCTTTCCTGGCACAATGGAGCCCCTTCCTACTGGACATCGGCTGCTGCCGGAGCTTGTTTCCCCTAAATCAGGTGCTGAGCAGCTCCTGAGGGCGCCGATAGGCAGCAGGTCCTTCAGTCACAGACAGCGGCTATCAATAAAAATGACATCACTTTTTTGCCAAGTGCAATAAAGTCACAGCTTTTCCAAGACATGATAACAGGCTCCTTTGAAAGCACAGTTACAGTAAGCTGGGAGATGACGAACCCCACAACACCCTATTTTAGGCCTGACCCTGGATTGTTTGGTGCAAAAGGTACATTGACTGCAGCCTGCTATGAGTTCTGCTAAGATGCAGGAATGAAGCAACTTTCCAGAGAACCAGACTCCTTCTTTGGGGTCCCTTGCGATACCCTCACACTCTCTGTAAGTCTCTTCCTTTCTCTTCTTGGGGCTGTGCTGAAACTGCTGGGCTCCGGGCCACCCCACGCTCGCAATTGGCTCTTGCTCTCCCCCTACTTCTCACTTTCACTCCCATTGGTTTCATGTTCCCTTTGCCAGGCGGAAAAGCTTTCAAGTTTATCCAGCCCAGCAGCAGGGTTTATCCTGGTTCCACCCACTGGGACTTTCCTAGCTTCCTTCTGCACAGAAGGGGGAAAAAAAGGCAGAGGGAGGCCAGCAGCAGGCACCTCGGGGAGCTCAGGGAGCCGCAGTGCTCCCTTTCCCTGAGCTAGGTTTCTATTGTAGGCGGTGCATTCCTTGGGAGGGAGGGTGTGTGTGTGTGTCGGTGCCTTCCCACACTCGGGGCAGCTCTTATTTAATGGGGGTCTCCATGCAGGGCAGACACCAGAGGAGATTTTGCCATGCCCAGTTCTCATCCAGGAGCAGCAGCAGCTCGCATGCCGGGAGCTGTCATGGACCGTGGGGCTGAGATACCCATGGAAGCAGTGGCTCCTGGGACCAACCCAGCTGCCAGGATGCACCTCCGGGAGGATTTGAAGAGGATACGGTGCGCAGTGCTGCTGTGCCTGCTCTCCGTGCTGGTCCTCGTGCTGCCCATTGCCTACCTGCTGGTTGGACACCTCAGAGCACCCAGCTCCTGTGCTGGACAGGTAAGAGATTGATGGCTGATTTCTATCTTGGTGCGCTACATCCCGCGTCTACGGGGTTGGGTTTGTTTGGTTCTTTTATGCTCTTCATGAGTTTCTCATATTTAAGGGAATGCAAGAAACTCGCTGTTACATTCCTTCTTCCTTACTCAGAGCAAATCTGCCTGGGATAAATGTTATTTTGGTTTGGTCTTTGTAGGCAACGCTTTCTGTTCCTCTTAATTTCATTCAGGTCACAGCACAAGATACAACTTCAAAACTTTCAGTGATGTGCTGAAGGAAACACTTAAGAAAAATGGCTGGTTGATGGAAATCAGTGCCTCTCCACTAATCTCAGCCAGATTTTGACACTATGGTTCATCTTCTTCCCTTCTTTCATGTTAAGAAAGGAGAATTCCCCTCCCAGTGTCCTATTTCAAGAAACATCTGCTGACTGTGTTGGTGATGCCAGCGGGTCAGTGCTCATCATCCATCACTGGACAGAGAGATACAGCTCTTGCTTATTATTAATACAAACTCCTGCAGTTGCATGATTTGAGACAGTTAAGGAGTCTAAATTTAATTTTCACATCCCAATTTTACTTCCATCAAAACTTTCTCCAGACCTAGGGATCTCCTCTGCTCATCTCCTCTGACAAACAGCTGAACTCACTTTGCTCCTAGCAAGATAAGCTTGCTGCTGTGGTTGCTTCTAATGCTTTTCTATGCCACCCCACTCCTTCTTGTGCCAGACTGGAAACAAGTGCCTATTTCCACAATAGGCTATGAATTCAGGAGGATTGCCCCATGCTAGAATGATGTGTATACACCTAAAGGTCGAAAGAGCTATGGTTTGAATTTTAGCTTCAGGTCTGAAATTCCCCCAGTAATTATCCTACTTGTTCTATGCTCACTTAGGAACCACAACAAAGAAAGCAGTGTTAGTAAGTGACCTTGAAGGCAGCTTTCTAACTTCACACACATTTAGCCTAAGGATGTTTGGAGAGCGTGACAGCTGTACCCATGGCTGCACACATGCGCTCTGGGCTGCACAGGGATGAAGTCAAACGGGCTGGCACGAGTCTGCGCAGCTTGCTTCTCGCTCCCAAGTGATGCTGGACTTAGGGTGCAGCATCTTCTGTGTTATTATTAAACCTTGTGCAGAGTTAAGAGGAGATGCATCAGGCCTAGGCAGTACCTAGGGCTGTTAGATCTGCCTATTTATTTCTTGCATATGTGAAAGTGCACATTACTGCATTGACCCTTTTACTGCTATCACAAGGATGCTGGAGAGGGACTCTTCATCAGGGACTGTTGACGGGTTCAAACTTACACAGGGGGAGTTCAGGTTAGATATAAAGAAGAAGTTTTATACTGTGAGGGTGCTGAGACACTGGAACGGGTTGCCCAAAGAAGTGGCAAATGCTCCTTCCCTGGCAGTGTTCAAGGCCAGGTTGGACACAGGGGCTTGGAGCAAGCTGCTCTATAGTGGAAGGTGTCCCTGCCTGTGGCAGGGGTTGGGGCTGGATGATCTTAGGGTCCTTTCCAAACCAAACAAATTTGTGATTCTGATTCAGGCCAGCTAGAGCAGGTGCACACAGAATGAAGAGGTGCTTTGGGCAGTCTCAGCTGCATTGCCCTGTGAGGTTGTACAGAGCAGAATAGTTCAGTTCTTGAAATGATCTTAGAGTGAAATAATAGCAAAATGTTAGCCTGTCTGCTTGGACTAATGTGTTCCTGCCTCTTGAAGTTGTTGGCAGAGCTACCGAAGTATTTCTGTGAGTGGGTTTGGCTCCTGAAGAGGAAAAGCACAATTTAAGCCATTAGGTTTGCTCTAGCCTGGGCTACACCAGTGTTTTTCCATGCGCATGCACAGATTGTTAGTGAGTATGACTCCCACAGTGATGCGGTGAGGTGATCAGATGACTTACAGCCTCTTGTGACTCCCAGTGAGGAAGAGAATAATGACTGGGGCTGGCTGCCTGCCTGCTTCCTTCCTGCCAAGGCCAGAGGTGAAGCTGCAGTTCAGCTGGATCCTGTTTTCCATTCACTGCTTGTGACTGTCACCAGTGTGGTCCAGCAGCAGAGTGCTCTGGCTGCCTATGAAGCTTTCTGTTAATTCCCCATAGTGCTGTGTCATGCTGAGCTCTGCAGCTCAGCACAGCTGTAGGGAGTTTCAGTCTATGGGAACACTTCCAGGCATAAAGGCTCACGGGAAAAAGACTTTTTGTATTTCCTACTGCATCTTAAGCGCTACAACTGGATTGTTAAAGGATGCTCTTCCCTCATGTGCCCCTTTGATAACCCAAATCAGAATGATAGAATCATATCATAGAATCATGGTATGGTTTGTGTTGGAAGGGACCTTAAAGCTCCTCCAGCTCCAACCCCTGCCACGGGCAGGGACCCCTTCCACTAGAGCAGCTTGCTCCAAGCCCCTGTGTCCAACCTGGCCTTGAACACTGCCAGGGATGGGGCAGCCACAGCTTCTCTGGGCACCCTGTGCCAGCGCCTCAGCACCCTCCCAGGGAAGAGCTTCTGCCTAAGAGCTCATCTCAGTCTCCTCTCTAATACCTAATATTTAATCTAATATTACTATTTGACCTAATATCTAATTATTCCAATCCTAATCCTACCTAGAAGGAGAAGGTTGAGCCCAGGTGAATGTGTCAGAGCCCTCTGTGGCACTGGTTTTGGGGTGTGGATGCCCTGGGCATACTGGGAGCAAGTGGGCAGACCCAAGTTTCGCCCACTGACCCTTGCATCAGCAAGCTCACAAGAGTCCTCTTCTTGCCCAGGACCAGAGCTGAGCTCACACATGCCAGATTACCAACTTCATGTGCATTGGGACAGTGGGAAGGGGGGAATTCAGCAGCAGGTGAAAAGCAGAAGCCCATCCTCCCTGGAGCAAGGAGGAGTGGGAAGGGAGCTGGGGAAGGTTTGTACAATAGGGTTCTGCCTCTTGCATTCACCTACAGGGTGAGGCAGTTCATTCATCTCTGCCTCTGTGTGGGTGCACGTGGTGCCACATTCTGCTTCCAAAGGGACACAAAGTCACCTTTTCCTCAGGAAACATCCCTTTCAGAAAAAAAGGGGGGCAAGTTATGTCAGCACAGCAGGACGGGTGAGCTACCGCTTCTCTCTTTCTCATGGTATAATGCATCTTGCATGAATAATTGAAGTCTGCTGATGGGTTTCCTCCCTGGACACCTTCCAGGCTTACTACACTGCTTCCCTTTTGGAAGAAACAAATCACTTCATTTTGTTCTTCAGGGCAGAGCAAGGTGAGGATATAGAGTTCTAGTGATCTTTAAGCAATGACACATGGATGGTGTTATCAGCAGGAAGTCTGTGAAAGGCTCTAATAATGCCTTTCCAGAGGGAGGTCCAGGAATGATGTGTATCCTTCCCCAAAGGGAAGCCAAGTTTCAGTCTGAGTGCACAGATCTACCATGGGAACGGCACAGCAGCAAGGAGAGCATCTTTGGGCTGCCTTAGCAACTCTGCTCAGCTAGGCCAGCAGAGCAGAACATCAAGCCCTGCTCTCTGGAGATGTTGTTACTTGGATTTATTTTCATGGCATCCCTAGCATGCCAGGATCACAAGCAGTGTAAAGGGAAATTCCAAAACCCGTTCAAAGGCTTGACATGAACCTGTGCACCATGTCAGTCTTGCAGTGGAGAAGGGAGCTGTTGCAGTACAGGAGTCATAGAATCATAGAATCATAAAATCATGGAATGGTTTGTGTTGAAAGGGACCTTAAAGCTCCTCCAGCTCCAACCCCTGCCACGGGCAGGGACACCTTCCACCAGAGCAGCTTGCTCCAAGCCCCTGTGTCCAACCTGGCCTTGAACGCTGCCAGGGATGGGGCAGCCACAGCTTCTCTGGGCACCCTGTGCCAGCGCCTCAGCACCCTCACAGGGAAGAGCTTCTGCCTAAGAGCTCATCTCAGTCTCCCCTCTGGCAGGTTAAAGCCATTCCCCTTGGCCTGTCCCTACAGGCCCTTGAAGGGCATCAAAGTCAGTTTTCAGTGGCATAGGACAGGTCCCTATCAAAACTGCCCAGTCTGGGCCATACAGCATCTCTAGAGCTAGCAAACCTCTGTGTGCATGTACCATGTATGACCTGTACAGACCCTGCCCATAAAACAGTATTTTGTCCTAAAAACAGATAGGGTGGAGGTGCTGGGGATATTTTGCTTATTAATCTCTCTCTGCCTGCTTCTCCTGTACAGTTCCCCACCGTACAGCCCCAGCCCTTCCTGGAGGTCCAAGAGGCAAAGCGTGTGAGCGAGGATGTTCAGCCTTTCTTTTTGGCGTTAGCAATATGTATTCTTATCAAATAGCACCATTAGAAAAGTAAGAACCCCAACTTTACCAAGCAACAGAATGACTCCACACCTCGCAACACCCTGCTCTATCTACTGCATCATACTGCACTTTAGCATCTCCAAATGAAGCTTTCTCCTCAGCTTTCAGTTGAAATCTTTTTCTTTATTAAAAAAAGAAACCCAAACCCAAAACAAGGAAAAACCCCAAAGTAACCCAGAATTCTTCTTGCTATTCTTCCCACTTTCCCATCATCTCCGTTTGTATTGCAACCTCCAAGTTTATTTGCAGTACTTCAGTGGAAGCTAGGCTTTACATATTTAAGCAGTCCCACTGAAGCTACATGATTGAATGTAGGTTTGTGATTGATTTGCAGCTCATTGCGGTACTGAGCATCATTAGAAAGTCTGTCACTTCATAAATATGTAGGAAGTGTCACATAAATAATGGTGTAAATCAACTCATTCACATAGATATCTGGCCAAAAGCAAGGGAGGAATGCTCGAGGGAAATCCCCCACATGCATCTTGTGCTTCCCACCAACAGAAGGACAAAGTCACCTGGCTATGACGATGTCACATCACCTGGCTATGACTGTGTCCCATCAGAAGTACAGTCGTGTTTAGATGCCACAGCAAGCAGTCAGGACCCTTGGTGGTGAAGGGGTTTAAAAGAGGCTTTTCCCTGCTGTTTTCCTTCTCCATTTTATTCCAGCACACTGGAATAACTATTTTAGAAACGATGGTTTTATTCAGGAGCACAGGGATGTTCCCTGCTAGTAAAACCTTAAAATATCTCTGGACTTAGCAGTGTGGCTGGCAGTCCCCAAACCCAGGCAGCCTGTGATTCTCCTCTCAAAACCAGTCTTCTTCATCCAGCCACTATATATCATCTATTTCCTGCTTCTCCTGTAGTATTTGAAGTTATGCACGACACAGACACCAGGAGACAGCTTTATCATCTGTGCGTTAATACTATTTCAGCCTGTTTATGAATATGCATCAAATCATTGCCTGCAAGCTGAGCAGGCTCTGTTTGATGTATTTATTGCAGCTGTTCATTAAACACACTATATCAGACCAATGTGCTCCTGACAAACATTGAGTAATGGGGTTCCTGACAGCCAACCCCGAGCTGGCTGCATATCCCAGACTGTGTTCTTTCTGCAGCCACACTGTTGGCATAGACCTGCAATGAACTGTGCCCTGGGGAAAGCATAAGGGATGCTCCTCATACCACAGGGAGTCTGGGTCCAGAGTCAGCATCCCACAGCATCCTGCAGTTAGGAGCCATAAAAGAATTGGCACATGGCAAGAAGCCACTGGCTGTGCCCAAGCATTATTCAGAAGGACCAGCCTTGTTAGGCATGCAGCAGACAGACAGCAGCTTCCCTTTGAACTGCTTGACCTAAACACCAGAACCGCTTGGTGCGGTCCGGGGCCATGTCCTGCTGCTATGCAAATGCATGTTGGTACAGGGATGGGTTATGAGCAAGCTGGGGCTCAGCTCTGGACCAAAATGTAAGAGCCAAGGAACTGTGAATCACCCTGCTGTCTCTTGGTAAAGCATCAGTGAGCTGCAGAGCTCACCCTCTGCCACCTGCGCTCTCCGACAGTCTCAGCTCCTGTCCACCCTCCAAAGAGGCTGCCCAACATTCCAGAGAGTCCTGAGACAAGGAGGAGTTGCTCACATTGCTCTGCAGAGATTGAGGACCAGGAGAGTCTCTGAGCAGCAGAGGTGCTCCAGCGGTGCTGGATGGAGTCACCATCCCAGTGGAGGGCTAGCAATCGCTAATTCACACCAGCCACTCTGCCAGACCTCTCCCAGTTGTGCCAAGGGCTCGTCCAGCCTCTAAACAAGACTGGAGTTGAGCACAACCATCACTACAGGAGCCCAGCTCCTGTCCCTGGCACCCTTTCAGAGGCACGGGCAGTTTCAAACAGCAGAAAGCTCTTGCAATGAAGCGAAGCCTTGTCAGGGCTTGTCCTTTTACACAAAAACTCTAGCTGAACTTGGTAATGTTACAGTAGCACATTCCATTTTCTGGGATAACACAAACAAGACCCTCTATGTCGGTGCTGTACACGCTGGAGCCTGGAACTAACCCATTGGAATCTCTTCTTGCAGGTCACAGAAGAGAGGGGCTCTCGCTTTCTGAAGCAACGGGCAGTAGATACTGGTAAGTTTGCTTGTTCTTCCCTCCCCGTCCCCAACACCTTTGTGTGCTGAGGTTTAGCAATCACTGCTGCAGCACCCAAACCCCTCCCAAGCCAAACAAGCCAGGGCAGATGGAGACAAACCTTGCTACAAGATACAGGGAGATAACTGGGGCCGTAGTGAAAGTGCGAGCCACTCCTAATCCCAGGACTGGGCAAGCTCCTTCTAATGCAGGCACAGACATCCCCGGCAGCTCTCTGGGATCAGCATAACATGGATTTGGGAGCCCATGTACACAGCCCTCTGACCCATGGACACCACAGCTCCTCTTAGTTCACCCTTCAGAAATATAGGTCTAACGAGCTCATCCATATGCAAAGGGATTTTATTACCTCAGTGGTGTCAATAAGCAATCTCAGCAGGTAACTCCTGACTCATATGCAGAAATGGAAAGGGGCTGCACAGGTTTCCTCAGCACCACTGGTCACCACTCACATCTCATTGACTTGAATAGCATCTAACATGCTTACTCATGACTTTTCCCTTTTTTCCCTCAGTTACAGAAACACTTCCCAGTGCTGAAAAGCCAAGAGCTCACCTGACAGGTAATGTTTGTTCAAAAATAAAGCGTTTCCCATGAGTATTCCAGCAGATGTAACCTCAGTTTATATGGAGCTGATAGGATCAGGTGTTGCAAGGAAAATAACCATCAGCTCTGCCTTGCTGACCACAACAGATTGTTGTTTGCAGGCTGTGTTTGTAGGAAAGGCACTGCAAAGGAGGTAGTCGACAGAAGTGTTGTTGTGTTTCCAAGATGGAATGAGGCATACCTGACCATGGCAGAGGGTTTGGAACTAGGTGATCTTAAGGTCCTTTCCAACACAAACCATTCTAGGATTCTATGACTCTATGCTTCTTCCACTGAAAGAGAAGCTCTTGCAACTGTACTAAGTCCCTGGAATTCTAGCGATCTGCTGAATCCCTTAGGAAAGTCAAGGAAAGGAGCCCACACAGAGCAGTGAAGTGGGATGAACTACCAGTTTTGGGAGAAAAATCAAGTAAAATAAGATCAGTTTTAGACCTTATTTTTCTGCAAGATCTTTCTCAGGTCACACACACCATGTTGCCATAAAACTGATCCTGTTTTCCATGGAAAAGGAAAGGTGAACATCTCCAAGCCCTTATGCTGCATTAGGAAGGTGCTGCCACAAAGCTCTATTGCAGGGTAGGCTGCAATATGTTTCTAAGGGGCTACTAGCATCTGCAGGGCCACCATCTCACCACCTCAGCCGTGAAGGTGTAGCTGTCACCACACCAAGGACGCTGTCGTGAGCCTTCTGTCGTCCTCACCAGCTCCCCCCACCTGGAAAATACAGGTATTATTTCCAAGAAAGAGGAAAAATTCATGGCTGGTTCTCCTGTGGATGGAGCGGAATGCTGAAAGGCTCTCCAGCTGCTCTGACCCAAAGCAACTTACAGCTCTCAAAACCTCACTACAGAGGTGACCCCAATGCCCTGTAGTTGTACTGGGGAGCATGTTAGTAACTTGAAACGTGCAAGAAGTGACATGATGCTTCACACAAACTCACCTACAGGGTGAAATCAATCTGTATTCCAGAGGCGAGTTCTTTCCCAGCATAGTTTTCTTTCCCTAATCCACAAGCTCCTCCCTCTGTCCCATCCCCGTTCACATGCAGGTTGCTAGAGCTCCAAAACTGACCTGTCCTTGTTCAGAATCCTATCTTTGCTTAAGTGCACGTTTGAAAGAGCAAAAGGACCATGTCTGCTAGTGTAAGTCTCTCCATTTCCCAACTGCCCCCATGCTAGGGAGAGGGGGCAGCCACATTTGGCCACAGCATGCATGAAAAGAAAAAGCTAAGGGGGTTCTGCACCCTATGTAGCCATCAGAAAGCCTCATTCCAATGAGCTTATCTTTGACCTTTTTTAGCCCAGTCTTATTTCTGGTGCTGAACCCTGTGCAATGAGTTCCCAAGCTTAGCAGTGCATCGCAGTCAGGAAATATGGTTTCAGACCTGCTGCATGATGATTTCTTGGGTGCCCCCTTCCCTTCTCAGAAACCATGGTTCATGCATAGAAAGTGAAAGAGGAACAATTATACTTCAAGCCTATGGGACATTCCCCCACTGCAGGTATACTTTGCAAAGTGAAGGTGGTAGACTACAGACTCTCACTTGTAGGAAACCTATTCCAGCTCTCTATTCCAGCACACATATTCTGACACATACAGCTTTTTAGACACGTATAATCTGAACGTGAGGAGTGAGAGGAACAAGGGCTAGACACAGTACTTTCACAGCAATGCACCATTGAATTAGCAGTAGCAGAATGACTCAGTGTTTTCATTTCTGTTCCTTTATTATGAACTTTTCACCTGCTTTTGGTCTTTTTAACACACACGGAGCATTTTGAACTTATCCAAACTGGCATCAAGATCTCTTCTTCCTGGGTGGCTATAGCTAGTGAAGAATACCTAGCTAGGACTTTTCTCATCCCCATTCTCTCCTGCGCAGTAACATGTATTTAGTGCTGACTGTGCCATGCCATCATCCCCTCTCTGACTTGTTTGGTTGCACTTTGGGTCACAATACAGACCAATGCCTATTCCTTCTTGTCACCAGCCTGTGGCATGGTGCAGAAATCCCACTGAGGTACCTGGCTCACACTTACTATGCTGCCAATGGCCCCTAGACGCTCCACTAAATCTGGTTACTTTCCGGTTCCACTTGATTGTTGGAAGTAATGACCTTTCTAAGGGTAGTTATTAAACTCCCAGGGCACAACAGGAGACTCAGACTCTAACCTCTCACTGAGACCGAGACTCAGAGTCCAGTGTTCAGTATCAGGTTTTCACACTAGTGAGAGTTTAGATACCCCGCAAGTTCAACAATATGTCCCAAAACGTACCCAAAAGCTGCCAAGCAAAAGGGATTCTTCAGCAAGGGACTAAGCCAAAAGGGATTTGATGAATGGAGAAATAATTTCACATGTAAGAGATGCCAAAAGTTTATAGCGGACAGGAAAGTTGAAGGAACTGTAGCAATGAGCCCCTTATTAAAGGCAAATTTCATTGACTTCAAGAATTAGCATGAGAGGAAGTATGGCTCCATCTATTTACAAAAGAAGTAAATAAAAACTACAAAGTACAAATGCTGCTAGAAAAGATGTGCTGTATTCAAAGGCATTTGAACAGGAATTTTTCCCCCAATCAGGATTGAAAGCATGGGAAAAATTAACTTGAAAATAGAGAGCATCAATAGAGTGAGATTTATCCTAAAAGGGAGGTTGTAGCTGTAAAACTTACAGCTGACTAATTCTAGAAGTTATGAAATCATGTACTTCACTTAAGCTGCCTGTTAGTAAAAGACATTGAAGAATTGGGTGTCACTGACACCCACTGCATCATTCTACATGGAAAAGAATATTTCACATGCAGCTTCTCTTCAATTTCCCCCCAAAATTTCCAAGATGGAAAAGAGCCCAGGACATTTTCCGGGAATTTTCTGATCTTTTCTGATCCTTCCCATCTCAAACAGTATTTCATCTGCTACCAACAGATCTCTGAGACATGTTACTCCAACCTCTTGTAAACCTTATAGTGATCCAAATGCTACTTTAAGCTTTTGCCAGGACTCAGACCTGTCTTTAGACACCCTGAGAAGTAGATGAGGATGGAGGCAGACCATGAGCACTTCCACTTTCTTTTATTCCTCTCTCTCTGTATCAGGAAAAGCTCCATTGGCTCTAACCCTTATAGTTCTCATAATACTGCTATAACATAGCTTGGCTTGCTACCACAGTCCCTCCTACACACAAATACTCCCCTCATGTACTTAACCGATTGGGGAAAGACCAGAGAGATTTGATACTTCAGCAGCACTGACAGGCAGGCTGAAAAACACCCATTATTTCATTGTGCTACTCAGAGAATATGAAAGAAATCACACTCCTAACACCTTCTTGTCTCTTTAGGGATTATTGATTTCTAGAAGAGACAGGGAAATAGATGCCATTGGGAGCTGAGCACGTTGCTTTTTCTGAATCTCATTTCACCCAGGATAAACCTAATGGTTATTTTCAACAGAGTATCACAGTAATCAGTACCTGCACTCCATTTGCATCCCTGCCCATGCAAATGTGCCCCTTCCCCAAATATTAAATCAAAATAAACTTTAAACATTAACTCAAGCTCACAAAAAATGTCTCATTTCCTGGAAATCAATTGCCTCAGTCTTTCTCAGCATTTATGATTAACTTTTCAGGTTCATTTTAATACCTGGCAGAACCTGAATGGTTTTTATCCTCTTCCTGTCCACCACTTCACCTGCTGTTCTACCACAATAATTTCATGTGGCAGGCAGTAAAGAAAAGAGCAGACAGTAAAGAAAAGAGAAAACTCTTTTGCTTCCCTGAATTAAAAAATGAGTAGAAATAAGTCTAGGACTTATTCTCCTGGGTGTTGTGTGAGAGAAACTGAAAGAGCAGAGGAGAGGCAAAGGAAATAGGGCAGCAGTTCCCTGATTCATCCCCTGAGACCCTTGCAGCCAGGGGAGCATCCTCAGCCTGGATGAGACTGATGCTGAGGTCTGGCTTAGAGCTCTGCTTGTGATCGGCTAACCACAAGACTGGGAAAAGCCTGGAGAAAGCTGAGGCTGACAACAGCTTAGGGTTTTGTTCCAGCAAAGCATCAAAGAAAAGAAAAGGAAAAGAAAGAGATGAAAACAGTTCTAAATGTAATGCGCTGCTTTGGATTTGGGCCTCTTGAAGCACAGCGGGGTCTTATGAGCACTTGATAAAATCAAATGGCACCAGTAAACCAAAGGCAATTCTAAGCAAAATGTTTTGTTGAGAGCATTCATGAAGCTTGACACCAGGGCTAACAAAACCTAACATCCTTCAGAAGCAAAATGGCAGGAATAGAAGCGTCTCAGTGTTTGGTGATAGATCGTGCTGATCATGGGGAAATATTTGCATGCACAGTAGTGTCTAAGAAACATAACTGTGAGCCATAGCTACTGAAGAAAATGATGCTTTAAAATTTCTTATTCCTGTCCTGAACCATTAGTTACAGGCATGGTAACTATGTACAACTGCCCCAGCACTGGTTTCACTTAAAAACAAGGTTTTTACTCTGTAAATAGATAAGATAGCACCTTGGATGTGTAGGGTATTGCTCCACAGTGCCACGAGACTCAGCCTTCAGGAAGGACAGTCTCTTCATTCAGGATCTGCCCACAACCAGGACATCCAGTCACAGCATACTCCAGGTAGCCTGTACTGGCCAAGGTCTTCCAAAAGCATCCTTGACTTTAACTCCTGATTGCTCAGTCTGGATGCCTTATGAACACCCTCCAAAACCATCACTGGATAGCTGGCCTGCAGCCACTTCATCTCGGCTTTCAAGCTGTAAAATAAGAACATTTCTGTCCTAGCATTTTTGTTACCCCATTTAAATAGTTCACCCTTTGAAGCAGAGATCTCACATTGCATCCTACAGCATATCCCTGGATAAAGCAGACTAACCCACCCCTTCTTCATCTTTCTTCTTCCCACAGTGAAGAGACAAGACCTCACCACCACCACGGGAAACCATCTGCCCATCCTGCAGTGGGAAGACAAGCGAGGCTTGGCCTTTACCAAGAACAACCTGAGTTACTCCAGCAACTCACTGGTGATACCTGTGTCTGGGGACTACTACGTCTATGCTCAGGTCACTTTCCGAGGGCCAATTGAAAATCACACTAAACCAAACTCTGTCACTGAGATCATCACCAAAGTCACTGACAGTTACCCTGTGCCCACCAATCTGCTGACTGGCACCAAGACCCTCAGTGAAAATGGAAATAACTGGTTCCAGCCCATTTATCTGGGTGCTGTGGTCTCCTTAAAAGTAGGAGACAGGCTAATGGTCAACGTTAGTGACATCAAGCTGGTGGATTACACCAAGGAGCACATCACTTTCTTTGGTGCTTTTTTATTGTAGTCCCTGGCAGCAGCCAGTAGGGTCTTCCCATCAGGGTCCTGGTGTGACCTTACTGGATCTTGGCTTTGTGGGTGTATGTTGGGGTGCGAACTCTGTGCTGTTACCCTTCTGTACTGTCACTTCTCTGCAGCTCTCTGCAGCCTTACATTAAGGGGTAGGGAAAGCTGAAGCTGTAGGCTGAATTGAAAGAAGCAAAAACGACTTAGAAAAAAAAAAAAAACACAAAAAAAGCCAAAACAACTCCCCCAAAAAACCCAACAACCAACCAAACAGAAAAAATGAAACTAGGATGGGAGGAAAAATACGTTTTTGAAAGTGAAAACTGAGAGCTCTTCAAGAGATAAGGAGGAGCAGTTTGTATTTGTGGGTGGGATTATTGATCCGGAATATTGCAGCTAGGCTACATCACTAACTCCATGTCCAATATATAAATTATAGCCACGGAAAAGTGGTTTTGAACTTTCTCCAGCTCTTCCAGTATAGTTTTGCATGACCTTCTTGAGATTCTCGGTTCTAAAAGGTAACTCCTTTCCATCATTTCCTTCTAGAACCATAGAAACAGATCGATACTTCTAAAAGGATTTGCTCAGTACTTTGCACTAACAAAGCTCAGATCATCAACTGCTTCATTAATCCCTTCAGTTTCCCTCTAAAGTGGATTTAAATTATATCTTGTGCTTTGCAGAAGCTACTTTTGATTTCTTTTCCCCCCCAAGAACATTTTCTGTTTCAGCATGAAACCTATCCCTGCTAGGTCCTAACATTAGGAAAACAGAATAGACAAGGCACAGAGAGGCACGTAGCAAAAATTCCCACATTTTTTAAATCAACCACTGATATTCTGAAAGAAAACCTCTGCAACATTTTGCTTTCCCTTATGTTTCAATTCAAGGCGAGTGCAGCTAAAGAAATCACTGTCTTGGTGCTCCCCCTTGCAACCACTGCCAATGCTGCGGCAGTCCCCTAACCACAAGAGACTCCCCAGCCTTTCCCTGGGTGAAGGCTGGCAACCAGCAGTCCGCATACAAGGTTAGTTCCAAAGACACCATCATGGCATGCCATGGGCAGGTGTGGAGCTCAATAACATTCACCTCCCCATCTCACGTTTTTCATAGACCTATTTTCATAGACCTATTTTCATAGACATTACTGTCTCTCAGGGAAATTCCCCAGCTTGTTTTCTCCTTCCACAATAAATAGATCACTGACAGTGACTCAAGCCATGTTCTCATAGACTTGGACTTTACACTGTAATCTGCTAATGAGGTCTCACACGTGAGCACCTACAACCCAGTCATTCCTGCAATGACCAGATGCACTCTCTGCATCTTTTTCTCTTTCCTTCCTCACCTCATTGGATTTCCTCCATTTTCCACTTTTTGGCCAGAAGCGACAACATGGTTTGGTTGCCTCATTTCCACTCAAAGCCCACTGTTCGTGTCAGGGAGTCGCTGAGGTTGGGGAATACATAGCACTGATTCGAGCTGAAGAGCTTAAATGAGCAAGGAAGTTCTGTGATGGAGAGACCCCAGCTACAGAAAAGACCATGTGCAGCTAAAACAGCAGAGAGACCAGGCTTCTTTGTCCACAGTGAGCCTCTTCCTAGCAGGAGATAATGTATTGCTATAGAAAGACCTGCTTGAGCAGACAAGGCAAAGTCAGTAGCACAGCTGAAGCACAGGAAATGACAATGAAGGGGGAAGGAAAAATATGTTTTTGAAAGAAACTAAGAGCTCTTTAAAACTCTGTAGGCTAGGGGTGAACTTTGAGTGACCAGAAAACCATGTGGTAAATCTCATAAATGGAGGATTTAAAACTGACCTGTCTGGGACAGGCGATTCTCAGTAACTAGATAGGAAAATTTCTGTGAAGTGTTATGTAGGATGGATTTGGTTTGTCCTTGGGAAAAATTGGGGTGCAAATTCTAGCTGGTTTGAGACAGTTATAGAAATTCAGAAATCTCTTTATTTCCACAAATGAGATGAGACAGCATCCTTCTGAGGCCATAATGCTTGTACAGCAGATTACCACAAAAACTGTATCTAAGTCATCATCCCTTAATGCCTCATGCTCTGAATGATGGTAAATATGAGATCTGGGGGAGAGGAGAGGTGAATGCAGTATTTTGCAAAGAATAAAAGAGACTTCTATGGGGTATATACACACATATAGACATACATACAGAGTATACACGTGTGTATATACTCCATAGAAGTCCTGGGAAGCCCATTGGCAATAACAGGCCTTTTCTACCACAAGGCACATCATTTGTGTCCACTGTACACTAACAGTGCATTTCACAAGCAAAATGGTGCCTGCTGCAACTCCATTACAGGTGAGACTTGCTTGAACCATTTTCCATGACACCAGGATATTTATTGTAGTCCTGTTAGAGCTGGCTTTTACACCCACATCAGCTTTTAGTACATATAGCACACTAGCACATTTTAAATTACATATAATAATATATTTGGCATTACTTGTTTTAAAGTGGTGCAACCATATTAATCCACACATCTAACCGAGTGGAAATCCTCTCTTTCTCTCTTTTTCCCCCCTTTTGAGTGCTAATAATGTTTCTGTAATAGTGACCAACAAATAGAACAAATATGCAGGCACTGATTCTGACCCTGTGGTACGTCAAATCCTCCTCCACAGAAGCCAATGGCTTAAAGTCAGAGTAAAGCCAACTAAATGAGGCAGAGAACGAGCTTAAAGGGAAATATCTCAGGCAGAATCCATGAAGCGGATGCTCAGATTTTTCCCAAAGCTAAATAAGGACTGAAGTGTTCTGAGAAGTTTGCGTTTAGTGAATTAGACAATCATCTTTAATGCAAACCATTTCTAGAGAAGTGAAAATGCAGATGCATCAGCATTTTCAATTGCATGAGAGGACAATGCAATCTGGCCATGTGAACAAGTGGCCTTTCCATCTGTGGTCAGACTGAAAACAGGTTTTGGTTTGGGTGGATGTGAAACTAAAACAGTTGTAAGAAAAAAAATCCAAGCTGGAGAAAAAAGGGTAAAAGAGGCAGCTCATGTTAAATAATTTAAAACCGTGCAATTTCAGGGTTTGACCCTTTATATATTTTTAGGAAGCAGAAGAAAACCATTGCAAGAAATTGTGTTTTTTTTTTTTGTCTATGTAAAGCCTGCTCAAAATACTTCAATTCTTAGGAACTTTCTCCTTCCTTAGTCTCCTTGGTCCCCAAAAACCCAACACTAAATGTAATGCAGATTCATTTTTAGTTCCACTTACCTACCATTCTCTTTCCCCTTAAAAACTATTGATATGTAAGCATTAACTTTTCTCTCCATAGACATAAGGAAGTCAACTTAAATCAAGCAATAAGATATAAGCTCCAATCTTACCAACATATACTTGTGCTGTACTTAGTCCCGAGCATGTGGCTAGAGGGGTATCATTGTCAAAGCAAGCTCAGTTTTCCTATTTGGTGTATGGGAAGGATAAAAATCTACATTGCTCAAATGAAAAGGGGATAAAATGTTTTACCTATGCCACTATCAACTACACCATTGTAGGATCAACCCTCCAAATCAAGGAGCACTTACGTGGACCATATCCAGCACATGTATGTTGGCAGGATTAGGGTGTAGAGGTGTAAAACTGAAGGTTATGTTCCTTAGCAAAACATAACCCAAATGATGAAAAGGATACTGCTGGGATGAGTTTGGACATAACAGTTCAGTAGCTATTAGGATAAGCACACCAGTAGAAAGGGAAGTTGGGGGAATCTAATTTTTCACCTCTGTATGGTATAACTGACCACACTGCGCTGTATTTTATTTATCTCCTAAATGGCCCATCATTTCAGATGAGAAATGAGGAGAAAGTTCATTCTTTAGAAGAATCAGGAAATGTCAAGAATCCTTGCCCAAATGTGGGTATTAGATACCAGTATAGCATTTTGCTACTGTAAAGGATTTTGTATGAGTGACTGTATTAATGCCTTGTGCTTCAGCACTGATGTGTTTTTACCAGTAGAACTGACTTAACCTCATGTTTCCAAGCTTTGTGATAATAAAAATGCAAGTTAATTAATGTGACAACTTTTGATCCTGGTTTCAGAAACTCTAACCAAATGGCACAATTAAGAGGAGTGAGCCAGTAGAGCCAGATAATGCTGATATGAAACTTATTTCTTGTGTGTTAATGTGTGAATGATCCTTGTTTTATGCACTGATAGAGGTCGCTTACCAGAGTGAACTCCGAGTCAGTCTTTCCCCCAGGGTCTGTAGAGACAGAAGGCAAAGCCATAAAGGTTGAGCAGATTTCCTTTGCCAGTCCCTTTGCAGGGCGGGGAAAAGCTGATTCCTTCTTTTTGCTATTTCTTAGTCTATTTTCAAAAAGCAAGTCCGAATGAAAAGCAATGATCATCAGAAGCTGCATCATAGCTGCACCCACTGAGCACCCATGGGAGACAGGAGCCACAGTATCGCCACCCTGCCAAAAAGCCAGGTTTGCCTTGTCTATAACCATGCATAACAGCTCCTTGGCAGCTTAGCAGTTGAATGCTTTCACTTGTTCAGCTCCAGACACAACAAAGCTAGGACATCCTGGCCAGATGAGGGTCAAATGAAGGCAGCCAAGCTATGGACAACCTTAGCCCTGTTCTAGCTCAAACTTTGCTGTCCTTACTCTTTCAGAACAGCAACCACTGGCTATGTATTTCTAATCCTGGATGTTTGATCTTCAATTCCTCTGCTGCCAAGAATTACAGTAGCAAAATTGAGAAGTTTTCACATAGATTTTGTATTTTCAAAATTTCTTTTGTTTTCCTGGCTAGAACTCGGAGTGTCACGTTTGAATTGCTTCAGAAGAGGTTTCTGATTAAAGGCTTAAGGCGGGTTTTTACTTGAGAACTCTGACAGAGGACATGTTTACCCTGGTTTCCATCCACCTGCAAATGCAGCCTTTGTAGATGAGCCAAGATTTCATTAGAGAATAGGAATAAAACTGCTTTCTCCTGGAACACCAGAAAGATTGAGGGGGTTGAGGTTTTTTATCCAATTGCAACCTCACATTTAAAAGAGCAGCAAAAGTAAATTATAATTTTCCAATTATTTTCTGTTTTAACTTGAGCTAAGCAGAATTCATTTGATTTACTGCCATTTTGTTCTCTGCTTTGCACACCCAGGGTAATAGCT